TATATTCTCGTGATTGCTAATTCGTTATTTTTGCTATTTTTGCTAGCTATTTCGACTATTACTAGCTGGACACTCTGCCAATAACCCAATTACCTGCAATTGTCAGACAATAAGCATGGTACATAATCATTTTTTGTTCCAAATCTGTCCAATGCATTCTTCAGAACAGCCATTCATTAATTTAGTACTAAATCAAACCAAAATAATATGCAGTATCAATATTTGAAACAAATATAGGGAATCCTTTTAGTGGCAAATATTACATCTACATGCATATAATTTTTCAAAAAACTTGATCTGCTCATTTTATAATGATACTCTGGCAGTACGTAACGAACGTACTGTGTGAAAATTTTAATCGCAGAACGTCAAGTTCAACGTAAAGTATTTAAAATCATATGAATCATAAAGTTACAGTTTGCTATGTATAAAGTTTTATTAAATACAGATCTTTTAAATTAATTTACATTACTTTTTACAAAATAGGTATAGTGCAATATATAAATTTATATATAGATTTTAGGCAAATTTTTCGTATTAAACCATAATTCAATTACATCTTAAAACCCATTATATCAATGGTGCGGGTTGCTAAATAAAAAAAAAAAAAAAAAGTAAAGGTCATTAGTTAATTAACATATGCGAGCATGATGAAAAAATCGGGGCATTTAAGTGAAAAAATCAGATTATACTAACCCTAGGGTTTACATTTTTGTTATTAGTCTTAGGTATACTAGTACTTGGCATCAAAGTAGTTATAGCCCATACTTCAAAGATAAATGTGAATAAAAAAGGAGTTAATAATAAAATTAGATATAATAAGATTTAAATATTTAGAAATACTACATACAAGTAAAGATTATTCCAGCAATAACACCAAAACAGAGGCATATAATTAAACCTTTTGGTTTATAACTTTTTTTATCTGAATTAAGTAATGGAGTTTCCGTTATCGCATCAGGAGAAACGGGAGATGTAAGGTCTTCGCTTTCTTTATTTTGTGATTGGTGATGATAGTGTGGAACAAGTTGTTGGGGAAAAGGGATAGATCGGGTGGTAATTTTGGAAATATTGAGTCGATTTTGATTATTTAATAAAGGGTCATCGGGATCGCCATGAGCGACTCTTACTTCAGTTTGTAATATCGAATCATTACTACTAACACTACTACCGAAAAACAACGTTGATATATTACTATTCCTGTGTTGTGATGATAATTGTTTAAAATGAGTAGGAGACATAATATCGCTCTCCCGAAATTCTTGTCTAAGAGGTGTATTACTCGTATGTATTTGAGCAGTAAAACCTGAACGTATTTGTGGCATATTTTCAATTTTTGGGTTTTTAATTCTCGAACGATTTCTCGTCATCGTTACACCTGGTAATGTTAATGACGATGGAACTATATTTTCTTGTCGCGATGATGATGATAATGAATGTATCGTGCCTTCTGTCATTTCAATAGAAAAATTTTGAAATTGCGGTCTATGGGAATATATCATTATTTGATGTGAAGGAACTGTTTGTATATCAACCATTTTGCTCCGAACCTCATCTAGAGGAGATAAAGGTAATGATATTTCTGCATCTTGAGGTATATATGACTGTGATAAATATTGTTCATTCATCTCAGGATTTGAGAGATATGTCGGATATTGGCCAAATGGAGAAGATAATTCGGTAGGTTGATACGAATGATCAGAAGGACCAGGATCATGTTTTGGAGCTCGTGGTGGTGCATATTCTTCTTGCTCTGCAAGATATTCTAGATAATCTACTGTGTTTTGCATAAATGATGACCTTGTAGGTATCGGTGAATCACTACTTGTAATGTTCTCCCTTTCATTATCCTCAGTCTTTCTGGACTCTCTGTTCTCTGCGTACATTGAAAACAGTTATTAAAGTAGCTATATATGAGGTAGCTATATATTTATTCAAATAATGTCTTAGCATTAGAGTATTATCGTTGATTGCTTTATTGGGTTACTAATATTTATTATAGTTTAATAGCAAATGTATTAAATCAGATTTTGATTTATTTTATCATCATCACCCTTTTCTGTTACTAATGTTGGAATAATCAAATACCTTCTTTTTTCAATAATATAATAAAATTAAAAAATTTTTATCAATGTATATATATAAAATAATGTAATAAATATTTCAAATCATGTATTAAAAATTTAAGTTAAAATGAAAGAACGAAAAGATGAGATGAGGAATCTGGCAAGACCTGGGCACTACTTAGTATGACAAATGTACCTTGGCCGAAAATAGGAACCTCATTAACATATGAAGAAAATTATCCGAAATGCGATTACGTATAAAAAAATATTCGAAAAACTGGTTTATCAGTCTGTGCAACCATTCATAGCACAAAGTTTTCTTGCTCTTAAGCCACTAACGTTAGTTCACGAATATCTTCATTTATTTGAAACAAACTGTACGTACGTACAAACCTGAAATTTCTGATACGTATTATAGATTAATCTTTATTAATTTGAAAACATTGATGCTAACTTAATGGTTTTGAAACGCAGCACCAATGTTAACTGTTTTACTACTTGTACATATTTGGACAAAAAATGATTATGTACCATGCTTATTGTCTGACAATT